TGTTTCCTTTGAAGGATTCGTTGAGGTTCGTGTGACTCGAACTCTCAAGTTGTAACGGTTTGTTAAGCACCCGTAAGCTTAACGAGATAGTAGTGTAGCTCGAGAGAGTCTCTCGGGAGGCTGGATTAGCCACAAGTTGTGGTGAACCAGGGTAAAATTCGGTGTGCCTTTTACTCTTCTCTTTACTTCTCTTTTAATTTTTTAATTCCTGCGATTTCTCCGATCAAACGCTATTCACCCCCCCTCTAGCGTTGGTCTATTATTCTAACAAAAAAAACTGTAAAAAACTGGAAGTTAAGAGTTTAAGCTCTAAAGAACATGCTCATGCTCTTTTGAACTTAAACTCTAAACTTCTACTTTTCTCAGTTTTTTCATATTCCTTGCCATGTTTTCCATCCTTCCAGTTTCGTCCTACTTCTCCCAGTTATTTCATGTCAAAAAATAACTAGAACATGGAAGCTGAAGAAAAAGGTATGCACATCATACCTTTTTAAGTCAAAAAAAAGTTAGATGGATCAAGGATGAACTTGAACATGGAAATGAAAAGATACCCGGTAACCTTCTTCTGAGCCTCCTCGTGGAGGTATTTGTCTCAAGGCATATAGATGTCGTTCTTCTCTCTTGCAGCATAGACATCTAGTTGACAGTAAACATGTTATAAAAAAGATGTATGTACCATAAAACCACTCAATATATTATCTGAAAATAAAACTAAAATACTGCCCTTGCTTCAGTCAGTCAATTTCACAGTACATATCATTAATCATGGCAGATGGCAGATTTCATCGAAAACAGGTCTATTCGGTCAATGAAGCTGTTAAGGCAAATAACTAAACAGAATATCTATCCCTGAGAAAACACTGATCCATCTCATAAATTTTCAGGCGGACGATGTGTTACCTAATTACTCCATGAGATGAAGCATTGTGGGAAAGACTATCGCTTTGGTGGTGTCTCAATGTGCATAGGTACTTTTTTTAGTAAAACAGCTGCATGCTGTCTATTTAAGTCAGTTTTGTTCGTTCATCGACCTTACATATGCTCTCATCATATTTTGAGCTGCAGGATCAAATATGGGCGCAAGTCGCAACTGCTGTTTTCGAAAAGGGGATTGAGTGGATGGTCTCTCCTACGCTAGGGCTGTCAACCCCACAAAATCTCTCTAAAGATGCTAAATAATAATGTTATAAAATTGTGTTCTGTCAGCTGATCTTGAAACAAACATGAAGGAAAAGGGGTGCCTGTATTTTGACACAAACATTTTGAATACATTTGACAGCCTTTAATGTGCTTGCAATGTTTGATTCTATCGTTCCTATCTTTGTAGCAGAATAAATTTGGAAGCCTTTAAGTTTGTCATCAAAATAAAATGCAACAAAACAAACTGTGCTACAAGTTGGCACATGGAGTACTATTACCAGAGTGTTACACATCTTTGTACAGCAACTGAAACCTTGGTATCCTCTTGGGAGGAAGGGAACATGATAGTATAATACAATCAGCTTCCCTTTCATCGCTCCTCTGAATATTGCCTACATAAACAAAAACACCTTTGGATATTATAATTCAAGAATTAAGCATGATCCCATTAAAGAAAATACATAGCTTACACAAATGTGTACTCCATATCACTTTTTGGTGATTGATTCCGGAAAACTGTCTTAATATTTTTATAGTTCTTTTTCTCAGCTGTTTTTTTTAAAATCAATGACCAAATAGTTTTTAGAGTTTTAGAAAGCACCTTTTTTTAAACACAAATGATGAAAGTTTTTACAAATTTGGTGAAAAGGTAATATACACTATAATTCTGGCTGTGTTTAAAAGATAAGACTAATATAGTTAACTTCGAAACACTGTCAGAGTAAGTAAAAATACTTGTGAGTTTCTACTCTGTTCTTCATTGGCTCTTCAATGTAATAACAAATAAAATGCTTCTTCTCGTGGAAAATCTATATGCAGACAGTTCAAAAAATAAAGATCTACGGAGTATTTTGATTTTTATACATTTGGATTACAGATGACATAATAATGATGATACTGGTGCCTGAAATATAAGAGAAATAAGGGTCTACTTACTCTTGTGTTCAATAAATGAGAACAACAAACATCTTTTGGTGAAGGTCTTCAGGTTTGGCATTATGCAGAGCTGCAGGTAAATGGCATTATAAAGTACAAGTTCTTGGCATGCTTTAAACAATTGTGTATAGATGAGCCAATGATGAAGATAACTTGCCAGAATGGTCACAATCGCCACCATGATAGTTCAGCCTACACAAATCACCCTCCAGTTTGTGAATTTTCCCTGCTCCCTCATGTTCAATTCCATTATACATTTGATAAGACAATCAGAGAGGTGTCTCATTAACATCTAAAGAAATATAGGATTCATATCAAATCTAATAATTTGAATTGAGGTTATAAGACACCTTATACGATGACTGAAATATAAAAAAATCAAATTTGGCACAAGTCCTTCATATCAACTCTTCATTTTTTTTGTCATTTTACTTAATAAACACATTAACCCAATAATAAATCAAACTCTTCCTATTTGTAATATATAGGCAATTTATCAATAACCATCTCCTAAAAAATGATAGGATTGAAGATTATTAAACCTTGAAGAATTACCAGAACTTTGTGGAGAATCACATGAAATTACATATGTTGAAGACCCGAGTACATATTCTCCAAGTTCACGGCATCTCTGTCCTGCAAGCAAATATGAAAAAAATCACAATCACGAAATAACAATTTTGAAATAGATATTTCTTTAATTTCAACCACTTGCACAATTTTTAAATAGAGAAACCTCTAATACCATAAGTTGATCTTGTGCACAACTTCCTTGACCGTAAAATAAATTGATGAGTATCTAAAAAACAGAAGAAAAGGAAAGAAGTGCTGAAGATGAACATAAAGTCACTTGAACAGCCAATATCCAGATTATGAAAGACTCATTTGTTCCCCCCATCCTGCAAATCATATAACCGATTATTCCCACCACACTCTAACCGAGAAAAAGAGATGTTATAAATTAACATTCTGCAGGCTCCCTGTATCTTATGAAGTCTAATAGTAACCATGACAAAAAATCCTTACTAGAAAAACATAAAATTGGGTAGAAGAGAAACTACAACTGATTAAGCAATGTACTTCTAAACCAAATAAAATGACTTATTTTATTCTTGCTTTAAATTGTTTGAGTAACCAATGAGATTGAATCCAAAATAACTGGACAAAAATATAGGTACAAAAATAATTGACATATAGGTACAAAAATAAACCTATACCAAAGTATAAAATCTGATGAAATTTTGCATGGAGTCTATGAAATACAAATACAATTTTAAAAGAAAATTTTTACCTAGACCTTTAAAATGTGGAGACCCAAAAGACCAAGAATTAATTTGAATTATGAAATTTATGATTATAAAATCCATGATATTGAAAATATTTGATGTTGGATCCTCTAAATTATCATATTGGAAATCAAAATATCAAAAATATGAAATATGTTTTTAAGGAGAATAAAATTTAAATAATAAATTAATCCAGTAGCACCTAGAGACCTGAATCTTCTTCTCTGCGCCATGACGGAATGAACACTCGGCCAACGTCGTCCGCGCCCTCAGTCGTCGTCCTCAGCTCGGCCTAGGGTTTAAAGCCCTAAGCCGGCGACGGTCCCGCCGAAGTCCAGCCAGCCGCATTATCCAGCCACCCGAGTCGTGCGCACCGTCAGTCACCTTCATCGCTTCGCTTGTTCGTGGAAGACGTGGATGAGAGGAAAGAAAATTGAAAAAGATGACCCGTGGATGGAAGACTATCTGTAGAAATCAATCAAATCATAATTTTGGAAGGATGACATAGTTAAAAGAATTGGAAAATAAAAAGCAAAAGCCACTCATTTTAAAGGGAGCAAAAATATATTTAATTGTATGAAATAATAATCAAATTGTGGACTTCATCAAAGATGGGGAAAGAATGTATCTTTGTAGCAATGAATGGAATTGCATTCATTGAATATCATAGGACTGAGGATCGGGTTGGTTCGGTCGGTTTCGGCCCAAAACCGAACTAATCGAATTTTTTTTGGGTTTATAAAAACCGACCGAAACCAAATCGTTATATTTGCATAACCGACAAAACTGAAACCGATTAAACCGAACTGTTACGGTCGGTTATTTATAACCGAATTGTATATCACCATTACAAGAAAATAATTTGAGAGGAGAAATTTACCTAAATAGGACTAAAACATAATGACTTTCCCAATATAGGACCATATATTTTTATTTCCCAATGTAGGACTTTTGGTCATTAACAAGTAGTCATTATTCAAGTAAATGTCCATCATTACCGGACATTATTCTTCCCACTAGGTCATTATTAAGTCCTATTTAGGGAATAAAAAAGTTTAAGTCCTACATTGGGAAAGTCATTATGTTTTAGTTCTATTTAGTGCAAATTTTACATTTGAGAATTGGGTTTGAGGGTTGATTCTGCCAAAAAAAAACTAATACCACTCAATCTTCAAAATGCACAAAAAAAGAGCAATTTCTCAGGGGTACTGCGAGGCTGCCAGCCATATAATGACATAATCCCAAAATTCATTAAAAATTACCTTTTTGCCTTCGCGAGTAGAGAAATGGTCGTCACGAGTTCGAGGCTACTGACGACGTCATCTACTGCCTCCGTCCCGTTCGTGACATTGGTGGTTGCCGGCGATGAGAGAGGAGATGGCGGCGACGAGTCGGTGACGGAGATGACAGTGGAATCGAAAGATGAAGAATGAAATAGGGTTTGGCCGGTTTGCCGAGTTGGGTTAAGGCAAAATGAAATTACTCCGTACTCTTACTCTCTGTACTTTTGGGCTTTTCCTTTTAGTTAATACTTTTGGGCATTTGGGTGATTTTGTTCGGTTTTTCAGTCGGTTTTACTAATTCAAGACCCAACCCGAAAACCGAACTAACCGAATTTCTGGAGCCTTACTAACCGAAACCAAAAATTTCGGGCGGTTCAGTTTTTAAGCATCGGTTGGACGGTCGGTTCGGATAATATGCTCACTCCTAAATATCATCATGGGATGATACTTCTTGAAATATAACCATGAAAATTGAACATCGAAAAAGAAGAAGAAAAAGACAATTTCATTTTTTGTATTTGGTGTTGGGACAACGCGTGCCATTACTCCTAACTGTGCATTAATATCATATTGTCCACTCTAGATCAAATCCTTACAAATTTGTTTTTACACACCTCCAAACACGCATCATACAAATGAGCTGAGTTGGTTGAACTTGTTTTTTGATTTCCTTTTTCCTCTTTCTTCGGTGTGGGACTAGGTTGCATCTTAAGAATTGCGTTCTTGCATGCTAAGTTGAAATGAAACATGAAGTTTTATATTTGAGATGGATGAAAGCAAAGTGATATTGATTTATGGTGGTGGATGAATTTGGAGAAGATTATAAATTGTGAGAAGCCATTGAGGCTGCGTTCCATTCGCCTGATCTGATCTTATCTAATTTTTTGAAGATATGATCTGGTGTGATCTGATATGATTTGGTCTGATCTGGTCTTGTTTGATTTGATCTAATCGCAGTTATAATGAAAGATATTTCTGATATGATATTATCTGATTTGATTTGATTTGGTCTGGTCTGATCTTATCTGATTTGATTATAATAAGAATAAATAATAAACAAAAAAATTGAACTGAACGCTGCGTGGATGATGTGCACAATGAAGAAAGCAAGATGGGAATTGTTGGCGTATTGGTAATAATTTGTTTTTAACTTATGAGCTACTTATAAGTCAAATATTCTTTCGTGAAAGTAAAATGACTTAAATTGTTAAATATAGTATGTATATATTTAATATTAATGATGTAATCATTGTTTATATGGTAGTATAGAATTCCTTCCGTAGTTAGGATTCCCTTGTACTATTTATACGAGGCTTAGTCCTCCGTTATTATTCGTAGAAAATAATTCTTCTTCATGGTATCAGAGCCTTCGCTCCTCTCTCTCTCTATCGTTCGACCTAGTGCCGCTGCCAACCCTAGCAGCGCCACCCTTTCTTCCCCTCTCGACCGAACATTTCCCAACGTTGCCGGCACCCCCAGCAGCGCCGCCTCCTCCCCGGCGGTCTCTCTCTCTCTCACGGCTATTCTCTCTCTCGGCAGGCCCTCTCCAACGCGCCACCATGTCTGAGAAAACCTCCGTCACTGGCACGTCATCATCCTCGCCGACTCCCCACTTGGCGTTCACGACTATTTCAAACGTCAAGCTCTATGTGCCGATCCTTCTCAGCTTCTCCGAGCCAAATTACAAGAAGTGGACCCGGCTCTTTCTCCTCCTCATCCGCCGGTTCTCCCTCAACGACTTCCTCACCGGAAAGTCGTCCCCGTCAAGCGCCGACAACGCCGAATGGTTTCAACTAGACGCCCTTATTCAAGGTTGGATCTTATCTACGGTGAATGATGAAGTTTGCGATCTCGTGCTCTCCACCACCGATTCAGCCTCGGAATTATGGAAATCAATCTACAATCTCTTCCACGACAACAAAGCGGCCCGGGCGATGCAACTAGAGCACCAATTCCGCACAACCACGAAGAGTTCTCTCTCTATGGCCGCCTATTGCCAAACTCTTCGCAACCTCGGGGATTGGGTGGATGATGTGGACACCTCCGTCTCCGAACAACAAACTCGTTCTCCAAGTTCTCCGCGGTCTCCCACACGACCTTCGGGCCCAAACATCGTTCCTTCAATATCAAACGCCGCCCCCAACTTTCCTCCAAACTCGTTCGACGGTGGAGGACGGGCCGATTCCAGCAGCGGGTGGCGGAATTAATTTTAAATAGTGAGAAATAGTTTTGTAAATTATCTGCTTAAAATGAAGAAACAGAAATAATTGACTTAAATGTAAATAGGTAAAACCTACTTATTTTTTTAAGTTTATAAGCAGCTTATAAGTCATCGAAAATTCTTTGGAATTTCTTCGGAATCGAAAATCGCAATCACCATCCCAATAGGAAATCGTAGCATCCATCGCCAACCCAAATAGTTGATGCCATCCCCAAGCAAGTTCACTATCGTCCATGCACCATTAGGCTTGATTTTTTTCGGAAGAACCCATTATGCTTGGAGGTTGATTAATTGGGGTTTATTTTTTGTACAACTCGATTAATATTTAATAATAAGGTTGATTTTTTTTCTTTTGAGAAATAAATGGGTTGATTTCAATTAGTTTATCAAATACTTCGTAATGAAGTATATCATACAACCAATTATAAAAAGAAACATTGCAACTCGGGTGTTGTTTTTGACAAACTTATTTGGTACTTCCCAGATACTTCTTATAAAATTAAATTTAAGTAACTTTGTTTGCTTATTTTTATTCTTCCTTTGCTTTTTATTTGTAGAATTTTTCATGTATTTTTTAATAATATCCGAGCATAAATTTCATACTTATAATTAAATAAACCAAAATGAACAAAAATTGGCCAAACCTCATAATGATAAAGGAAAATTTGGATGTAGGAAGTATTTTTTTTTTTTACACAAGAGAGGGAGGGATTATTTAATTGAATTAAATTTCGAGAATTGGCATTGGCATTGGAATTTGGCAGTGTATTTATTACACTTCTAGCGGAAGATTGGTCTACTTACTATAATTAATCACAATTTAAATTTCAAATTCAATAACCTAAGTATGGAATGTGATTTACTTCCCGTGTTCTCGCTTTCCCTTTCCTTCTCCAAAAACGTCGTCGTTCTCCAGGCACTGTAACGATCACTTCCATATCTAAATCAAAGCACAGCCTGGGAAAAGAGCAGCAGAAACACTTCGACGTAGAGAGAGAAAGAGAGGGCAAAGAAGGGAATAAGAAGAAGAGAGAGGTGGGGCCCGCAGCTACCATCGGATTTGGAAGAAGAATTCTCTGGGTTCTGTGAATTCTTTTGGGATTTGGGCTTGGTTGATCGGCGGAGGATGGCGAGTCCGCAGCCGTGGAGCCACCGTTTAGCCTTGACTCCGGGAACACCCGTCACTCCTGCGCCGGGTTCTTCCGCCGGAGCTAGGGCTTTGACTACGCCGTTGACTGATGAGTTGATCTGGAAGAAGCTTCGCGAGGCCGGGCTGGACGAGGAGTCCATCAAACGCCGCGACAAGGCCGCTCTAATTGCATATATTGCCAAATTAGAATCTCAGGTTTGTCCGGTTCCTTTTCAACTTCTCTTCGCCTATTTTGTTCTCTTTTTTCTTGATTTTATTACTTGCCCAATTTTCCCTGATTGATTGTTACGCTATTTTCTTGCTAATCAGTAAAGAAAAATTCCAAGGGTAAATCAATAAATTACCATGTAAATTGGGTTTTGCAATTAGTGTTTCAATTAACTCGAATTCAATAGTTGCTTTGGTTTTGTGATCTCTCTTTACAATGGTTTCAGATGAATCCGAAATAGGAAAAAGAAAAATCTTCGAACTTTAAAAACCTTTCTAAATTTGGGGTTTTAGTTTATTTCTTAAAATTAGGTTTGGGTTTTGTTCTAATTGCTTCTTCTCTGATCTGTTTCTATAGCTGTATGACCATCAGCATCATATGGGGTTGCTTCTCATGGAACAGAAACTGTGGGAATCAGAATACGCAGAACTGGTGGCCACGGCAGACTCGGCTCAGTTACTGTATAAGAGGGAACAGGCTGCACGAATGAAGGACGTGGCAGAAGCCAAGAAACGAGAAGATAATCTGAATAAGGCTCTTGGTATTGAGAAAGAATGTGTAGCTAATGTAAGATCATAATTCATTCATTCATCTTCTCTAACACATACACATACACACACAGGAAGTTGTTTCTTTCATTTTTTTCACAGGTTTTTTTTGTTTTGCAGATTGAAAAGGCGTTACATGAGATGCGAACAGAATATGCGGAGGCAAAAGTTGCAGCTGAGGCTAAATTGACAGAAGCTCGAAGTTTGATGGAGGATGCTCAAAAGAAATACACAGAGGCAGAATTAAAGCTGCACACTGCAGAATCCTTGGAAACAGAAGCCAGAAGATTTCGTTGCACTGCGGAAAGAAAATTGCGTGAAGTTGAAGACCGAGAAGATGACCTAAGAAGACAGATCTTATCATTCAAGTCTGAGTACGTTTTTTTTCTCTGAAAAACTTTGCTTGTTATTCTTTTGTGCTGTGATTTCGTAATGTTTAGTAGTGGAATGCATTTTGGTCCTTTTTATTGCACCTTACTGTTCTCCCAGTTTTTCTGCATTATTTACATTTATTGAGTGTTTAGTTCATGTAGTGTGCGATTATCTTCGATATAAGATTACTGTGTGTATGAGAATGCAGGATAACAAGAATATTTAATTATCTTAAGTCCTTCCGTTTGTAGATTATGGCGTTACTACTTGTGTTTTCAAATTGTCACGGACAAATTCATAATGGTCTAAAGGTCGGTTCGGTAAGCAAAGCAGGGTTGATATGATATGTATTTTGAAATCTAAAATGGAAGTGTATGGAGAGATGTGAAATGATAGTTGTTAGTGATAGTTAGTAGCTCTCAACTACGGTAGTGGTGGTGGCCGGCAACAGTGATGGTGGGTGGTTTTTGGTTGGTGGCAGGGGGTGGCCGATGATGTTGGGTGGACTGTGGTTGAGGGAGATATCAAAACACCCGGCTTGATATCTCCCCAATTCAAGAAATATCAAAACACTCCCATTTGATATCAAATGATACTAAATCCGAACCCTGTTTCGGTTTCACAAACACCCACCAAAGGGTTCTGATATCGCACTTACAATACAAACAAAAATGAAGGCAAACTAATTACCACCTAAACCAAATAAAGTTAAGTTGCATAACCTTGACTACATTACCTAAGTAATGTCATATGAACTGAACCAGATGCCCCTTAGTTCTTCCATGGTTGTATGATCAGGCCATTGGTCATTCTATATTGGAGTCCATTTTTGAATTCAATTTTCTTTATGTCCATATGTCTGATCTCTTAAGGGTATGTTATGGTGGACTTAAAAATTGCTTCTTTTTGCATCTTCCTTGTTCAGTTGTGATGCCAAAGAGCGTGAGATTGACCTCGAGAGACAATCATTGTTAGAGAGGCAGAAAGCTCTTCAACAGACACAACAAAGCGTACTTGATGGGCAGGCGTTGCTCAACCAAAGAGAAGAACACATCCTTAATAGATCTCAAGATTTGAGCAAGTATGAGAAAGAGCTGGAGGATGCAAAGTCGAACTTGGAAAATGACCGTAAAACCCTGAATGAGGAAAGACACAACCTGGAACTAAAGGCCGCATCTTTGTCCAACAGAGAAGAGGTGAGATTTACCCTGCCACACACCCTCCATCTTTGCTCTTTCTTCCCTTCTTGCAAGAGTTAAATGTAATCTCTATGTTTGCAGGAAGCTGTTAAAAGAGAGGTTGACCTTAAACAGAAAGAGGAATCACTGCTCCTTTTACAGAGAAAGATTGAAAGCAGAGAGTTTGTAAGTATTTGGCTCACCTCATTTTAATTGCTTGTTCTTGATGCAATCATCAGATTGTATTTACACATGATGAATCCTGGCAGGATGGTGTCAAAAAAGTAATTGCTAATAAGGAAGCTGCTTTGGTTACAAAGAAGTACGCAGTGGAGGCAGAGTTAGAGATGAAAAGAAAAAAGATGGAAGAGGAGTTGGAGGTCATGAAGCGGGCTTGGGAGTTGAAAGAAATGGATATCAAGCAGCGAGAAGACCTGATTGCTGACAAGGAGCATGATATAGATATGCAGTTCAGACGACTAGCAGAAAAGGAGAGGGAAATGGATGAAAGAATGCAATTTCTGGATGAGAAGGAAAAAAATCTTACAGATTATGAAAGATCAACAGAATCTGTGATGAGTCGCATGCAGCATGATAAGCAAGAGATTGAGCGTATAAAGAGTGATCTCCAAAGGTCTCTGGATGAACTTGAGCAGAAAAAGGAATATATTTATCAGGAGGAAGAGAAAGTGGAGACGATGAAAAGTGAAACAAAAGAACTCATGAGTCTAGAAATGCGATTGAAAGAAGAGATTGATGCGATTAGGGCTCAGAAGTCGAAGCTTGAGGACATGGAGGAACAACTGAAAGCGGAGAAGGCTAAGTTTGAGGCAGAATGGGAGTGTATTGATGAAAAAAGAGCTGAACTGCAGAAGGAAGAAGAGCATATTGCTGCAGAGAGGTTAGCCATTTCTATGCTGCTTAAAGAGGAGCGAGATGCTCTGAAAGCAGAGAAGAGTGCAATCCAAGAGCAATACAAACATGATCTGGAAGCACTTTCTCATGATCGTGAAGTGTTCAATCGGGAAGTTGAGCATGAACGTGAGGAATGGTTTGGAAAGATCCAGAAAGAACGCACAAGCTTCTTGCTGGAATTTGAGATGAGGAAGAAGGAACTAGAGAACTGTGTTGAGAAGAGACGTGAAGAGATTGAAAGTGACTTTAAGGGAAGAGAGAAGGCTTTTGAGGAAGAAAAGAAGAGAGAGCTTGAGTCCATTGCATCCTTAAGAGAGACCGCTTTAAAGGAGATGGAATATGCTCAACAAGAAATGGAAAGGCTTGGCGCCGAAAGGAAAGAGATCATTGCAGATCGTGAGGAAAGGAACAAAGAATGGGTGGAGTTGGATAATTCTATAAAACAACTTGAGGTGCAAAGGTTGAAGTTAGAGAAACAAAGAGAACTGCTTCATGCTGACAGGGAAGACATTTTGTCTCAGATTGATTACTTAAAGAAGTTAGAGGACATTAAAGTCATTCCAGACCGTATCCGTATTCCGGTGAAACAACACCGGGCTCATGTGAAATCGGATGAGCGAAATCATTCAAGGAAGAAAATTTTGCAACAACAATCTGAATACAACACCAGCAGACACATTAGCAATGGAGAGTTGGAAAATCCTTCTTCTTCTCCCATCTCTACCCCTTTGTCATGGCTGAAGCGATGTGCCAATACATTGCTTGATCGGGGACAGAGCAACAAAAGGAGAAGAGAGGATAATGGTTTTGAATCTCCCCCACAAGATATTACAATGCCTTGGTAACTGTTCTTCTTGTATCTACGATCGTGCCACTGCTCTCTCTGTTGTCATACCTAACCAAGCCGTATCTAAAGAAAAAAATAATAATATTTGATGCTAGTTGTTTACTTCATTTATGTTCTTTGCGTGTCTAGTTTACCAGGAACCGAATCAGATGAACCAGCTCATGAAGATCCAGATATAGAATTTGAAAGAATCCCAGATTGCACGGAGGACGAGACTACTGTTTTCATAGATAAAATGGTTACAGTTCGAGAAGTAACTACAGTTGATATCAAACCAGTTGCATCCAACACACAGGTAAGTATTGCTGCACTAACATTAATGCCTTCTCCTGCTGATCTGTTCTTCTCGGTTGGCATTTGCTCATCTGGAGACCAAATGTATTCTGGTAAACCAATAGGATGGCCTAATAATTATTAGCATTTATTTTCTGCAGCCACTTTTGCCTAAAAACAGTGATAAATATGGGGAAAGCAATGATGACAATGGCCACTTGGATGTAAATGGGAAGCTTGAAGAGGATGATAATACAATAGCAAGAAAGTAGGTATGCATGCAATCTCTCCAAAAGAAATCCAGCAATAAATTCTCTATTCAAAGTATTGATTTCATATGTTTCTTTTGCTTTTTTTAGATCTAGTTACTGATTTAACCTTTTCGAAGCCGGAAAATAATGTATAGAGTAGCGGGTACGACGTGACCGGAATATGCAGCTGAACGTGTAAATCATTCATCATGCTGACCTCATACTCTTCTAGGCCTATTGTGTAAATTCTGCGTGCTTGTGCGGCGGGTGAGCTTTGTAAGTGTGATATTGTTACTCATAGGTGGTTGTGTGGTTCTGTCTACTCTTTTCTCTTATGATTGGTTTTTTTGGGAGTTTAGCATTGTTTTGATTGTGCCAGTTTTTTTGGCAAAAACTCTGACCAAAGATTTTAGTTATAAGCTGATTTTGTTTTTCATTACTGATGACATTTAGCTGTTTGTCAGCTTGTCCCATATCAGCACTGTTAAAATGATCCATTTTATTTGGTTTTAGACCCAGTAGGCTCATTTTTTAAATCTGCGCTGGCTAGGCCGGCGGAATGTTGGGGTGTTTCTCAAAATTAAAAAGGCGATACACATAGTCAAAGATGCCCATTTAGACTTTATTGCGTCAACACTCCTTATGGTTTAGTAAATGTGCCCGTTACCTCTCATGATTCTAAAACTTACGTTGTTTTACCTCATGGTTTTGATAGTGTTGCGCCAATGTTGCTTTGGACAAAAATATCTTTCAAATATAAGGAGATTAATTTTGGAAATGGGTGCTAATGCCCCCTCATTTTTCCTTATTGTTTTTCTTTTTTCCTTTCTTTTTTCATAAAGAGAAAGAAAAATGTTTGTGTAAAATAATGATTTTTTTTCAAACCTACATTTTATAAAAAACGTTTAACAATAAAAAAATGTTTGTGTTTGAAATAAAAAATGAAATAAAAAAATTTAAAATACACTTCATTTATCAAACTAAATGTTTTTGTTTTTTCATCTAAAAAAGTTTTTATATCTTTGAATGTCGTGACCAAAAGAATAATGAGTAACATATTTTTAGTATATACGAGTAGTTAAAAACTCCCTCCGTCTCAGAGTATTTGTCCATTTTCATTTTTACACACTATCCAATATACTTCTTTAATCCATTTTATCTTGTAATTTGTATATTAAAAAACTATAGAAATTATATATTAATAATCTATATGTTAAGACAAATCAAACAAGATTACACATGACTATATTTAGGCTTACACATTGAGAGAATTTGATGAGTCAAAGTGCTTAGATGAACAGTTCCAAAAGTCAAAAGTGGACGAATATAGCGGGACGGAGGTAGTATATATTAATAGCATTTTTTGGTTTTAATGTGCAAAAGATTTTCTTCATGCTTTAATTTTTCTTATTCCATAAAAGTATATACACTGCCACAATATATACACTGTCACAATATATCTACACTGCCACAAAACACAATAATTAAAACTAAAAATACAGCGAAATCCGAATAAAAGGATGCAAGACAAAATTTTAACATTTAATGTTCACATTGTCCACACCATAACCCATAATCTTCACACTGCCAAAATCACAATGCCTTTCAAAAAACCTAATTTTTCAAAAGGGACAAATACTTAATATTTCAAAATTGATTTCACAACATATATCTAATCTTCAATATGAAGAAAACACAATAATTAATACTAAAAATACAGGGAAATCCGAATAAAAGGATGAAGGAATGAAAATTTAAAATTGAAGGAGAAGATAAAATGATTAGCGACATCAAAGATTGCCGTTGCTGATGATTGTCGCTGCTGATCGGCCAAGGAATCATGGGCGAAGGACTAAGGACGCATCATCGCCAGCGAACGGAAGGAGAGACCGTGGAGTTCAATAGTGTGCGGGAGAACAGAAGGAGAGATTGGAGTTGAATGCCGTAATTTTTAATGAAAAAAACAGAAAAAGGGGTAAAGGGTATGATATGAAGGGATTGACACCATAAATTGCTAAGTTTGTTAAAAACAATGAGTAGTGCTAAATGCGTAATTTAGGGTGAGTTAGAGTGCTATGTAGGGTGATTTCTTATACCAGAACCATGAGGAGAAACAACGTAATCTTTAAAACCATAAAGGATAACGGTGCACATTTACTAAACTACAGAGGGTTTTGTTGCAATAAACTCTACCCGTTTACATGTAGTCTTTTCGTTCCAATTTAAGTTACTTGTTTATTATTTTCACGATTAAATTTCATTTGCTTTTCTATTTTTGTTAGTCATTTGATAAAATAACATACTTTGTATTCCAAATTAAGTTGTCTAATTACAATTCACTGGGTCAAATCTTAATCATTTTCTTTTTCTATTTTATTACTCAATTCATAAAATAATATAGTCCTTAATTCTGGTTCTAAAAGTCTTTCCTGTTTTGACTTTTTTGGTTAAACACTGACATTTTTTATCATAAATTAAAAAAAATATAAGTAAATAAATAATTTAAAAATTTGATATATCAAAACTATATTCTAATTGATCCCAATTATATAGAATTTATATTATAATTAAATATACATTCTCACAGTTTATGGTCAAAAGGTGTCACTGTTTGACTCAAAAATCAAAATCGGAAAGGTTTTAGGACAAGAGTAGTTGCCAATAAAGATTGGAATTCTACTCGAATCCGACCTTTACCGACTCGACTGAAGCTTATAATATCCGAATTCGAATTGAAAACTTAAACATCTGAATCCAACCAAAAAATTTAAATCGAACCCGACCTTTGTCGGGATAGATTTTTGTCATTATATTTGATCCACCCGACCTGAACCTGACTACAAATAAGCTTTAAAAAACCTTCTATCGTGGAAAAATATTGTGACATCCCTAATTGATTTTCTTTGTACTCATTAGATTATAAGTTAAAAATTTACTATTTAATTTTTTAAAAGTCATTCAGTCATAATTATTTTTACTAATATCTTACCTTTTATTTCATCGTTAAAATTTTAATTTTTTCTTTTATGTATTTCAATCTTAATTTAATCATGAATACATTTATTAGTATTTAATTTGAAATTGACCGTTATTGATCAACCCGATCGAATCTTAAACCGAATTCGAATAAAAAAATAAATCTCCAAACTCGATCCGACAAAAATAAACCAAACTCGACCTAAGTCGTGTTGGGATTCCTCCAAGTCCCACACCTAAGCCGGGTCAGATTTTGATATACTAGAACCCGACCAAAATCGACTCGCTGCCATCACTAGTTGCCAGGCAGTAAACTGATAGAGTAGAGAGCTAGGCAAGGGGTGGAATCGGATGGGGCAGAGGCACATCCAGCAAATAAGAGTGATAGGGTCCTGTATCTTAAGTTGTGATTCCATTTATCAATATTTATAGCTCATACCTTATATAAAAGAAAATAAAATTTTTTAGTATTTGAATGTACATTCAAAATATGTTTTAAATTGATTTTTTTAAAAGCATAAATTCTCTCGGATGCAATTTTTAAAGATAAGTAGTACTCCGTAATATTCAATAATTTAACATTCAATCATTCAAAATATTTACTATTTGAATAAACATTCAAAATCAATAATTCTATTGTAATGCTACCGAATGTTTTTTCGCAAGACACATTTCATAGAATCATTTTTAATTTGCAAGGTGATAATAAGCTAATTATGAAATGAATAATCATAATATTGATATTGATGTTAAAAAATTGTAAAAAGAGTAGAAACGAGTGAGAATTACAAAAATATTATCATACATATTACTTAAAACAACAATATTGTGACAAAGGAAAAAATAAAAAGAGATAAGAAATTGAAATAAATAAAGCATAAGTTATTTTAAGAAAAAAAATGAAATTTCAAAATATATTTTAACATTTTTCATTATTCTTTACAATTTTCAATACTTTTCAGTTTCTTCGTACTCATTTCTTTTTTGTAAATGTATTCTTTCTCATTTCTTTTAACTCATTATAGTTTTTTGCATTTTTCTAACTTCTCCCTATTTTTTCAAATTGTTCTTTTTTTTTTCTTAGGTTTTTTCAAACAATTAACTCTTCTTTTCTAATTCAAAGAAGATGCTCTAATAACCTATTCTTTAGAGTTTAAATTCTTGGCTTTCAGTTTTTTCAATACTTTCCAGTTTCTTCTATTTTTTCCAACTATTCTCATTTTCTTCAATTTCTTTCTACTCCCAAACAATTACTTTAAAAATGATATATTTTTAATGTGATTATCATCATCATCATTATTGTCATAATAATAATAATAATTAGTATTATTATTATTAGTATTATCTTCATTATAGTTATTATTATATATTATTATTATTACAACTATTATATTCATAACTATTGTTTATAAATTATTTCATTTTTTTTATTTTTTTCATGTCACCATTTTTATGCTTCACACTCTTCTAAATTGATATATAAGGGGAAGATATTTTTCAAATTTTTATAAAATTTTTGAAAGTTAGAATATTTTAGAGAAAAAGACTAAACAAGGAGTAAAACATAAAAATATACCAAATTACGAGTTCTATGTTTTTATTCCCAAAATAAGAGTTTCAATGTCTATCATGAAATAAAATATTAGGTTTGATCACATTATATGACAGGTCTGATATTTAAAATAAAATCTTATAATATATAAAGTATAATTACAAATATATTATTTTATAATAAATACTGCATAAATAAATTGAGGAAAAACGTAACCATAATAACTTTTTAAAATTTAACATTTTCATATTTATGCTAACTTCATATTCTAATTAAATAAATATTTTTGAAAGTAGATTTTTGTGTAGGAAAAATGACGATACTTTTTTACCTTAAAGACATTGATTAAGATAACGTGATTATGAATAAAATAATAATAATAATAATAATAATAATAATAATAATGATGATGATGATGATGATGATGATGATGATGATGATGATGATGATGATGATGATGATGATGATGATGATAATAAATTATAACAACAATTCAAATGAGAATAGAATAAAAAATAAACTTAAATGATTTTTAGATTTTCTATTTTTTATAGTTTTTCTAGTCCTTCCGGTTTATTCCAATCTTTCTAATTTCTTCTAATTTCTTTTAATTTTTATAATTCCTTCCAATTTTTTCTAAGATCCCGCTCTTTTTTTCAATTATTAAGAACAGATCCTACATCGTTAAAATAATGGAACTAGATGGATAGAAAGGGATATGAGATCCGCCGATCTAAGGCAAATAATCTAGTACGGAGTAGTTTAATGTGTATGTACCCCGGCCCCTGGTAGCTTTTTGAAAAAATGGCAAGCATGTTTTCATCCATCAACTTTTTTTTTTCTTTTCTTTTAGAGAAAGCTTGTGAGTAAAAGAATATGGCAATGATGATGTTGGAGAGAAAGACTTATGTAAGTACATGCTAAGGCTTAAGAGCCGAAGGCAATTAGGTGGATACACCTAAATGACCTAATGTACGTACATGATGGAGTGCTTCTCTGGTACACCTCGAGTGTATATTGTTTTTATAGAACTTCTTGTATAAAAAATCTTTTTTTTATTAATTTAAAGAATAAATAGATACTTATTTAAGTGATAAGAAAATACTTATTTTGTTTATATGTGGATCCATATCAGACCTTAGGTCTACCATAGAATTTGCCACAAACATACTCTATGTGACTCATCCCTCTAGGTAAGGGCACTCTAAATACTAAGGCTTCAAATTAAAGTGTAGCATCAAATCTTCTTTTTATGTCATATCAATTTTAACCATCCTTTTAACTTACGCCCCAGTATCACTGAAAATACTTAATCTTTAAACTGGAGCTTCAAACTTTTATTTTTTGATATCACTGAAAATACTTATTAGTTACAGCTTCAAACTTTTATTTTTTGATATCACTGAAAATACTTATTAGTTACACGACTACTGATGCAGTGCACACATTGTTGAATAAAGAAGACCCATTCAACATATGTCCAGATCATTGTTATGTTCGACCTGATAACTACAAAATACGAATGCCATCCAGATTCACTTATAGTCATACTATTATTTTATTACTCAATAAGTCTCTACACTGTTAGGGACGTCATTGTGTAATCTCTTGTTAGATGTTGTTAATTGTTGGCAGTATTTTTGACAACGCACAAGCACTAGGGTAGTTCAGTGTCTTTGTAGGTGTTATAGCATTGGTCATCCATCTTGTACGCATTACACACCTGGAGTAACAAGGACACTACACGACTACAAGACGAGGACTCAACTAGAGATGGATTGGCGACAAACTTCCTGCACTACACGAAACTTCCTGCACTACACGACTCTGTGAAATTTGAAGAAACTCGCTGAACCACCGTGGTTTACGGATCTTGGACTGTAGCGCATAAGAGAGGTCTATTCCCAGAAGGTCAGGGTTTGCGGATATATATAAAAACACATATCGAGGCCTCAAGTGGAGAAAGAGAGAAAAAGTGAGAGAGGATACACCAGCTCACGCAAAATTCATAATCCTAGCGTGTGTGATACATATCATGATATTGATCATCTGATTCCTCTACAATCTGCATATGATTCATGGTTATGTATCGGCAAGAACTTCCAGGAGTTGAGTACTGAGTTGACCTGGATATAAGGCTGTTCAACACGTCCTTGGAAGATACCTAGAGAGGGTGTAACAAGCCAGGGAGACGAGTGCAACAGAGTTGATCACTCGAGGTCTATAGTAAGCTTATTCAGTCAAAACCTTATCAGACATATTGTTGTTGATCTGTATAAACTTTACTATGATCTAGTGGAGGGCTGTTACACGGACGTGGGCCTCGCAGACGTAGGAGAATTTGCTCCGAACTGCTTTAACAAATTTGTGTCGTTTACTGCTTTATTCTCTGTGTGTGTTTGACTTAGTGTTTTAGCATATTCTCTGTCATTGGTTGAAACGTGTGTAACTGCCTGTGAGGTTCTGTGAGATCTGCTTCTAGGTATTTACAGGTGATATGCATCTTAGAAATTTCAATTGGTATCGGAGCCGGAACAGCTTAAGTCACTAGCTGTTGATCACATCATGGGAGATATGGAAGAGGGTGCAAATGTTCAAAGGCCACCACTGCTACGTGGACATAACTATAATTTTTGGAAAGGCCGAATGAGAGCTTTTCTTAAATCTCTGGGAGGTGGTGTATGGAGAAGCGTGGAGACAGGTTGGACGGAACCACGAAAATACTCAGAAGATCTGACCACATCAACTATCAAGCCGTTTGAAGAGTACAGCAGAACAGAAGCCATTGCAGCAGAGTTCAACGACAAAGCCTTGAATGCAATTTTCGGAGCAGTTGACTCTACTCAGTACAAACTTATCTCAAACTGTGACAATGCCAAGGAAGCTTGGGATATTCTCGAAGTTACTCATGAAGGAGATGAGGAAGTAAAAACAGCCAAGTATCAAATTCTCATGACACAATACGAGAATTTACGCATGGATGATAAAGAGAAAATAACAGAATTTTATGGTAGAGTGAGAGATATCACAAATCAGGCTGCACGTCTAAATGAATCCATTCCTGAAAACAAGCTGGTACTCAAGGTATTGCGATCATTGCCAAAAGAATATGACATGGATGTCAAAGCAATCAGAAGGTCTCACAACATTAAAAATATGACTCTTGATGCACTCATGGGAATACTGGAGTCAATTGAACTTGACATGATGGAAGACATTAAGCGTCGAAATCCAGATAAACAAATTGCTTTCTCCATCACAGAGGCAGAAGATGACAGTGAACATGATCTGTCACTAGATGAAGACTTTCAGGAACAACTGTCACTCTTCACACGCCAGTTCAAAAAACAATGGATGCAGAAGAAAGGAAATCAACGAATGGAGGGAACATCAAAGGGACATTTTCAGAAAGATACCAAGCCCAGAGAAGTTAAATATCCAGACAATGTTACTTCCGTGAAGAAAAAGGGACCACAATGCTTTGAGTGCGGTGGATATGGGCATATTCAGTCTGAATGCGCAAACAACCTGAAGAAAAAGAGACAGGCATTTACCGCAACCTGGAGTGATGAAGAAGTAGATGAGCTTGGGGATCACAGTGAGCAAAATTGTGCTTTCATTGCATGTGAAAACTCAGATTTGGAAGACAGTCTTGCTGAACAACTTGAAGATCTACAAGAGAAGTGGGCAGAACTGCTGATGGTGAACAAACGGAATGTGGCAGACAAAAACAGGTTACTCTCTGAAATGGAGGCACTTAAGCAGAAGATTGAAGAATCAAAGCACAAGATCACCAAACTGGAAGGAGAAAACTCAAACTTGCGCTATGAAATTAATCAACTGAAGTCCTATCAGAAGTGGATTAAGGTGGCAGGAGCTGAGGTGCTGGATCATCATTCACTTATGGCAAAGCCTCCAGGAGATATGACATGTATTGGTTTTACCAACACAGGAAGTACCTCAAAATCTCAAGAGATCAAGTTTGTCAAAGCACTTGAGAGAGCACCTCCGGAATACCAAGGCAAAAGAAGTCTTCTGAATGGCACTCATAACGATCACTACACCTCCTACAGATGCTACAGATGTAGAGAATGGGGACACATAAAACGTCAGTGCATCAAGGAATGGAGTCAGCAGGTCACTTCAAAGAAGAAATTCAAACAGATTTGGATACCCAAACAATATGCCATGGTCGCAAATACTTGTTATAGGGTTACTCCAGATCAGTGGCTTCTTGATAGTGGTTGTTCTCATCATATGACAGGTGACAAAGAAAATCTTTTGGATCTGAAACCCAATGAACAAGGAAATGTCAGATTTGGTGGTGGAGCACAAGGTAAAATAGTAGGCAGCGGTACACTCAACGTAACAGGACTGCCACCTATTAAAAATGTGTGGCTAGTTCAAGGATTACAGGTGAATCTGCTAAGCATTAGTCAGATATGTGATCAAGGACTCGAAGCAGTTTTCACACAGCAAAAATGTAAGGTGAGAGATAAGAGCAAGCAGGTTGTGCTTGAAGGTGATAGAACTGCAGATAACTGTTACAAAGTAACACCAAATGTATTGTGCTTCTCTGCAAGTGAAAAGGATGCAAAGCTCTGGCACTATCGTCTTGGGCATCTCAACTACAAAGACCTGGTCACGCTATCAAATTCAGGAGCAGTCAGAGGATTACCAAAGATAATCAAAACAGAGGAAGAAGTTTGCGGACCGTGCCAAAAAGGGAAACAGATACGGAAACCTCACCCTGTTAAAACCTTTCAATCAACAAAGTATCCACTGGAGTTGTTGCATATAGATCTGTTTGGTCCTATGAAAACCGAAAGCATGGGAGGTAAGAGATTCGTGCTCATGGTGGTTGATGATCTTACCAGATACACATGGGTGAGCTTCTTGAAACATAAGGATGATGCACTGGAAGCTTTTATCTCACTCTGCAACAAAATACAAAATGAAAAGCAGTCGAAAATAAAGCGGGTGATACGAGTCAGAAGTGATCACGGAGGAGAGTTTGACAGCCAACCTTTCAGTGAATACTGTGACAGTCAAGGCATCGCTCATGAGTTTTCAGCGCCAAAAACTCCACAGCAAAATGGAGTAGCAGAACGGAAAAACAGACATGTTCAAGAGATGGCCAGAACGATGCTTCACACGCAACAATTACCTGAAAGTCTATGGGCTGAACCTGTTCACACAGCATGCTACACAATAAACCGTGTCTATATAAGGAGTGGAACACAAGCAACACCATATGAACTATGGAAAGGAAGGACACCAAATGTTGCACATTTTCACATCTTTGGAGCAAAATGCTATGTACTTCGGGATCGAGAGCACAGGAGTAAGTTTGATGCTAAGAGTGATGAAGCCATATTCGTAGGATACTCACCGAACAGTAAGGCATTCAGAGTTTACAACAAACGCACCAGAGCAATAATGGAGTCAATTAATGTCATTGTAGATGACATGACCATATCTAGAAATCTGAATGACAGAAAAGATGATGAAACACTTACTGAACAGCAGGTGGAAGATATCACTACACAATCAGATTCTGAGGAGCAAAGAAACATAGAGCATCAAACAAGTTCACCTGAAGAACTTAGAGTGCCCACACATATCCAGAAAAGCCATCCCATTGAAAATATCATCGGAGATCCACAAGAAGGCATGCACACCCGGAAAAAGAAGATTGATTTTGTTGAAATGATCAATGCGTTCTATACTTCCTCAATTGAACCAAAAAATGTGAAGGAGACATTGACAGATGAAGCCTGGATAAATGCCATGCAAGAAGAGCTGGGGCAGTTTGAACGAAATCAGGTATGGGAATTGGTGCCAAAACCGGAGGGCGTAAACATCATTGGTACAAAATGGATTTATCGAAACAAGACTGATGAAGATGGCAAAGTAATTCGCAACAAAGCCAGACTAGTGGCACAAGGCTATACTCAAGTGGAAGGGGTCGATTTTGAAGAGACTTTTGCACCTGTAGCCAGACTGGAGTCTATCCGAATACTTATCAGTATGGCTTGTGCATGGAATATGAAGTTATATCAGATGGATGTAAGGACAGCCTTCTTAAATGGGTATCTCAAAGAGGAGGTTTATGTGTCACAGCCAAAGGGATTTGAAGACACAATGCATCCAACACATGTGTACAAACTGCGAAATGCACTCTACGGCCTAAAACAGGCTCCAAGAGCCTGGTACGAGAGGTTAACATCTTATCTGGTTGCCCAAGGCTATGCTAGAGGTGGAGCTGACAACACAATGTTCTACATCAGATACAATAATGATATCCTTGTAGCACAGATATATGTTGATGATATCATTTTCGGATCAACATAAAGAAGCTAGATAGTAACACTAATGATGCACTTTAAAAATTTGGAGTAGGAAACCATGCAATATACTCCCTCCGTCCCCATAGATCTTTCCAATAGCCCTTTTTCTTTGTCCACAATAGATCTTTTCATTTCATTTTTTAACAATTAAAATACCACAACTACCCCCACTTACTTTATTTATTACACCTCACCTACCTCATTCAATTCTCCACCCATTTTCATTAAGGATATTATGGTAAACTTTCACCTTTTTTCAACTCTCCTTAAAAACCACCAAAAGTCAAAATGAGAACATCTTAGGGGGACGGAGGGAGTATATAAAAAGTTTAGTACGGAGTATAAGAAATAATGGTGCAATTTTAAAATTTCGAGGCAAAACTATATGTCCTTTATCAAGAGTTTAAGAAATACTTATAACTTTAGAAAACTCAAAAACAAATTAAAATTTGACAATAATGGATTTTTAGTTTAGCCTAGTCAGTAATCGGCCGGTAGTTCCTCATGGGAAATAATCATAATGCTTGAGAGAATTAATTATCATTTACGACGAATTAAACGAGTTTTCATTCATATCATGTGAAATTTATAATTGCTCCCTATAAGCTAAGCTAAGCTAGGTCGCATTATCAGATCTGTCCATGCAGCAAAGACAGGCACGTGAGACCTCATCTGCGCCGCAACCCAATAATTCGCATTATTATTACCCCCACTGCAACCCGTCATCGCCGCTGGGATCTCGTAAAACTCCGACGCCGGCGACCGAAAGTTCGCCGGAGGGGTGGCGTTCAAGTCCGGGCTGCCTTCTCTAGAGCTCTGGACGCTATTCACCAATGAAGAAGAAGCATCCGCCAACATCATCGTATAATCGAACCCGGCCGCCAGACCGCCGTGGCCGCCAGGTTTCGTGGTGGTAAGATCTCGCCGTCTTGCCTGGTCACCGGTGAGAAGCGTGGCGCTGTCCATTATGCGGTCGACGTCGTACCTGGAAACCTCAAAATTCGTCACCGCCGTCAAACCCCTGAACTTGATCGCCGCTACGTCATAAGCCTCAGCCGCTTCTTCTTGAGAGCCTGGCCAATGCAAAACATACAATTGCATTGAATTTACCTCATTACGGAGTTGTAACAAAAATAACATTGACTACAAATTGTGACAAAATATAAGGAGTATTAAATTATAATATAAATTTAATTTATTTAGTTTTTATATATCAAAGTTTTATACTCCCTCCGTCCCTAAATAAACTTTCCTTTTCGTTTTTTCTTTGTCCCCAAATAAACTTCTCTTTTCCCTTAAAAAATCCCTTTTACCTATTACTTTTTCTTACCCTACATATCACATCATACCTTTTTACTAATAATCTACCTATCACATCTTACTTTTACATATCACATCAAGGATATTTTTGGAAAGTCAACACAAAAATATCCCCCTTAAATATTCAAAAAGTCAAAAAAGGAAGTTTATTTAGTGACGGAGGAAGTAATATTTATTTATTTAGTTTATGTGTTAGAGTGTCATCCCACATCGGAAGTTCAAGATCAAAATAATCAGTATATAAGCTCTTGAGTTGAACTAACTAATCAATTAGATTCAATCTTTTAATGTGGTTCAACTCAGGTGTCTTATTATCCAATCGATTAGTTAGTTCAACTCAAGAGCTTATATACCGATTATTTTGATCTTGAACTTCCGATGCGGGATGACACTCTAACATTATGCTTAATTTTTAGAGACATGAGAGTATATTATACTTCACATGGATTAATAATATACTCTCATTCCAAAATTGTAGTCTTAGTTTGAGATTATAGTCACATGAAATGTTACTTACCCTCCTCCTTGAAATTAATTAAATAAAATAATATTTTAAAAATATTTGATATAATAAATTTAAGAAAACTATTTTTATATAAATATCTAATATTCCGTATCATTTTTATTGAACTTGAAGTCAAAATTTATCAGTTTTGACAAAAAATCAAAAGTAGAGAAATATTCAAAGAGACAAAGAGAGTATATCATTAGTAATTAATTTGTTAAAATAATATTGTATGATTTTGTCACATCTTAATTAAGAGAATATGTTATGTAGTTTTTAATAATATGCTTGTAATTTTTATTTTAAATTTTATGTCATTGTTTAAAAAGCTGAAGAATTTAAAATAAAATCAATCAACTATCGTAATCTAAAATAGACCTTCTTTTAGGAACGAAGGGAGTATGAATTACTATTTTTTAAATATATTAAATTAAAAATAATTTATGTTAAGCATAGTAAATTAAAAAACAAGGCTAATATAGAGGGGATAGAGTATTTATCTACCTAGTCTATCCATTTTTTGTTTATTGGATTAAACTTTCGAAAATGCCGAGTAGTGAATAATTAGGCCATTATGTACTCGGTAAAAAACACTCCGGGGTAAGAATGATCTCAAAAGCATATAAGTCGTACTGACAGACATGCACCCCTTCAAATTTCAAAAGCAGCCTCTTTGTAGGTCTTGACATGCCCTACGGACTTACAATAATGTTGCGTTGTTGCAATGAAAAAAAAGTACTTTTCCCTGCCCATATGACAAAAATACCTTCTAAAAAATTTTGAAATTATTTTTTAATTACTGGTATGGTTTACTCCCTCCGTCCTATATCTTTCTTTCCATTGCGCAAAACGAAAAAAAATCCCAAGTTTTTTCAATCTATTTTATTTAAATATTGGTATAGAAATAAAAAATAAAACATACATATTTAAAAACTACATCAAAAGTTCAACAAAACAAGTGGTGACAAGAATATTTTATTTTATCATATAGGCCATGAAAAAACACAAATCAATATAAATTCTCGTGAAGTTGGAATAGTGCTCTGGAAAGAAAGTTTTAGGACGCAGGGAGTATTAGAAAATACGGAGTATAAACTAAAGACATAATTAGAACATAATCTGAAAAATATACTCCCTCCGTCCATAAATAAACTTCTTCTTTCGCTTTTTCTTTATCCCCAAATAAACTTCTCTTTTCCTTTAAAAAACCCTTTCTACCCCTCACTTTTTCATACTCTAGCTACCTATCACATCATACCTTTTTACTAATAATCTATATATCACATCTTACTTTTACAAATCACATCAAAGGTATTTTTGAAAAGTCAACACCAAAATATCCCTCCCTTAAATCCTCAAAAAGTCAAAAATAGAAGTTTATTTAGGGACGGAGGGAGTACATTTTTCAGGCGTGGCGAGGGCCAGCCAGAGGGTGGGTAAAGGGTCAATTTTTTCGGTGGTCTAACGTTTTTAATTTTTAAAAAATATACATTATAAATTAAATTTTTAAGTTAGCTATTATGATATTTAAATACTCCATCTGTCCTACAAAATATTTTTATTCGAATTTTTAATAGATTTACGAGTAATATATTTTGGTGTTAAGTTTTCAAAAATATCTTTGGGTGTGATGAGTAAAAAGTATGATGTGATAGATAGATTAATAGTAAAAAAATATGATATGATAGGTAAGTTAAGAATTAGTAAGAGTAAAAATGATTTTTAAATAGAAATGAGAACGATTTTTAGGGACGGATGAAAAAAAGAAAGAATAAAAATTTTGTGAGACAGAGAGAGTATAATAATACGCGCAATTTTGGTATGTGTATTATCATAGTACTCCATCCGTGTCTGAAAACATGAAAGATTTTGGTTTTTAAGGATTTAAGGGGAGTGTGTTTTGATTTTGAATTTCCAAAAATATACTCCCTCCGTCCCTAAATATTCACAACATTTGCTTTTTCAGCAGTGTCGAGAACTTTTGTTTATTTTGACGTTTTCATTGATTATTTGATAAAATAAAATATTCTTGACACCTCTTATTTTCAAGAACTTTTCATGTACTTTTTTGTATGTAAATTTTATTTTTTATTTCTTTACCAATATGTAAATAAAATGAATTGAAAAAACTTAATATTTTGCTTCAGGAATACACCGACGTGTCTTTGGAACCCACCGACGTGCCTTTTTTTCATCAAAATTAATTGTATGGGACGGAGAAGGGTGTAATTAAGTACATACGTATATACTCCCTCCGTTCTCAAAAACACTTCCTCTTTCATTTTTTCCACTTTCAACAAACCACTTCCCCTTTCTATTAAAAAACCACTTTTACCCTTACTTTTTCATACCCTACCTATCACATCATACTTTTTCTCTAATAATCTATCCATCACATCTCACTTTTACCCATCACATCAGGGGCAAAATTGGAAATCAACTACTCCATATAATTTAACACTTCCTTATTTTTGCCCCCAAATCAAATGGGAAGAGTTTTTCCAAACGGAGGGAGTAGAATAATAGGGAGTAATAAAGAGATGTTTGATGTTCGGACGATATAGGATTATTCGCATGCAATTGTATATTTATAAATGATGAGTAGTTCATGAGCGAGCTTAGCTTAGCTTACTGAATGTTCCGAGGTAGAGATCCTTATTTCCGGCCACTCGGCCGATTCGAGCTTGCCATCTTCCGTGTTGATGATGTCTGCTAAAGAATCAAAATGGAAACAGTTAAATAATCTTAATAACCTTTTTTTTTTAGCACTTTAATTCTTCATTGAATCAAAGAAATTTAAAAAGTTTGCAAAAATCAAATAAATTCATTAATTAGCAAGACCTGGTCACTCCTCTATAGATCGAAGCTCCTCTAGAAAAACCAGTGCTTTTTCTGAAAATAAAATGCACATTTATTTGTCAGAAACTTCATGACAAAAGTACTAAATAAATAGAAATATTTGCAGTAAATAGAATTAAAATTTAAATCATTTCCTAAATAGCACTTAAATTATTTTATTTCCTAAATAACACTTAATAATGTTCATAATGTCCAGTGATGGTAAATATTTACTTGAATAATGATTAATGCATAATGACTAAAAATGCTACATTAGGAAAAAAACATATGTGATGCTATTTAAGGAAAGTCATTATGTTTTAGTGCTATTTAAGTAAATTTACCAAATAAATAATGAGATTATAATTAATACTCCCTTTAATTAGACTCCAACCCGAATTAATTGACACATTTTAATTTCATAAATTTTACTTCCTCCGTCCCATAAAGTTTTACACATTTTGACTAAAGTGGAAATTAAGGGAGGGATAATTTTGTGTTGACTTTCCAAAAATACCCTTGATGTGATGGGTAAAAGTATGATGTGATGGGTAGATTATTAGGAAAAAGGTATGATGTGATATGTAGGGTTTGAAAAAGTAAGGGGTAAAAGTGTGTTTTTAATATAAATGAGTAAGGGATTGTGGGACGCAATTTTTTTGAAACGTGTAAATCTTTTTGGGACGGAGGGAGTAAAAAATAATTAAAGTGAAATTGAGTTGTAAAAAATGTAACAATTGTTTAGAACAAACTAAAAATGAAAATTTAGGTGAAATGATTAATTTGGGATGGAAGAAAGTATTTTTGTTTTGTTACCTAATGGATACACTAGAATTCATAATTAATTTCATAGGTACTCACCTTCTTAAGTGGGCAACACATTCTTGTCTGCTCATGTTCTTCATTTCTTCAAGCTCTTGCTCATAGTTCTCCAACTGCATTACCAAATAATGCACACACACACACAATAATGGTTGGAATCAAAAATTAAACCGATCACATATCTTCCTCCCGACCCCTAATATAATATATATCCGCGTACCGGGAAGTTTATATGTGTAGAGGCTCCCCAATATTTGATTGCTGCCAAATCATATGACCTCGCCGCCTTCTCTTCGTTGTCATACCCTCCCAAGTAAACTGGTAAAAAAAAGCATATTGAATTGAACTGGTTAACCGATTGGATTCAATATTTTTTTTTATTATGTTATTTGACTCAAATGTTTTGCTACACATGACACATTTGTTAAATGACAAGAATATGGTCAGAAAAACAAATGCAAACCTTGCCGTCCTTTCCTACGTTGGCCTTCTTTCTTGCAACTGTTGTCCCACAAATGAGCTTCATATCTACCAGTCCATCTGTGCCTGTATGTAAATACATTATTTAATTAATTTCTATTTAGCTTTCTATAATTAGTATAAATTAAATACACAAATTAATTAAAAATCACATAACAATATAAGTGAAGAATAATCAACTGTAACATTTAACCTGGTAACACCTCTGTATTGGGAGGTTCTTTGTCCAAAAGAATCAAAGGACTTCCTAATCTGGGCCTGATGATAATTATCCACCATACCATAACACCTTTTCTTGGGGGCCATGGCCAAAATGTCCTCATCACTAGTTTGTTGTTGTGGGACACTCACATGTGAGGCTGCAGGGCTCATTGACAACAAGCTCAAGGACTGCAAATATTCGTACCCAGCTTGATGAAGTAGGAGCTCCTGCCCTCTAATTGTAGGGTACCCGTCGTCCTGCGCCAGATGAACCTCTTGTTGCTGCTGCATGGTGTTTTCTTGAAGATGGCTGATGAGATCTTGAAGACTCCGGCCGTTGGGTCCCTCATAGAGGTCATGACGTTCCGGAGATGGCGTCACGAAAGCTTGTGGGAGTGACCTTAGGAAGGACTCCGTGGTACAAAGAGACCCATTTTCCCCTTCAACCCCATACCAAATGAGATTATTAGGATAGTTGGTAGGGGCCAAACTTGAAGAAACACAAGGATTAGAAAAATAATTGTCATTATTATTATTATTTAAACTGCCCTCATTACCCAAAGACCCCATTTCCCCCCCTTCTTTTATATTAATTATATGCCTCTACTCTCTATCAAATGGTACTCGTTATTATATACTCAGCTCCTATATATATAAACTTTGGTGGGAGTGAGAATGACCTATGAGACAAATGAGAATGTATATTTTTTGCCACCTTTAAAATGCATTACTTTATTCATTAATGATTAATCCGCACAACAATGAACAAAAAAACGTTATTCTAACTTTAATTTGGAGGTGTAAATTATACGGTACATATGGATGTACTTTCAATTTCTTGTATATCCAATGAGTATTAAATTATGTAGATCATATAAATGCACACATAATAATTACTCCCACCATCCTATATCTTTTTACCAATTTATTTAGACTCTTGCGATCAACTTTTTTAATTTGTCTATGAATTATGATAAAAATATGTTAAAGTGTAAAATATGTATGAAAGACTCTGAAAAGTCAAATGAGAAGAAAAATATGGAACGGAGAGAGTACTTGTGTATAATGTGCAGTGTGCATGCTTTTAATAGGTACAAAAAAAATTAAAGATGCATTTTTAAAATGTGTACAACTTAATTTTGACAGAGGCTAAACAATATTTTCAATGAGATTTTCATTTTTTTCTCATTCTTATTGATAATTTAATTAATCTCTTAGTTTTTAAATGAACTTTATACTTTTCTTTTTTGGACATTTATACTTTATTTTTCTCACATCTTGTTTTCTAGAACTTGGATGTAGTTTTCATTGAATATTTTATAAAACAAAATATTTCCATACTAATTTATAAATAAAATCATTTTAAAAAAGATGAGATTTTATATGTTCTTCGAAGTGGTAAGATTAATTTGGGGCGGATGGAAATAATTTATTGAATTGATTCTACATCTTTTTATAAATTTCAATCACAAATTTTTTAAATTTTCAATAAATTTCTTAATTTTTGTAAAATCAAACTGGCAGATCCATATGCATACCAAAAAAGTACTTCCTCCGTCCCTTACACTCTTTTTCTTTTCTTTTCTTACCTCACAAACTTCTTCTCTTATCTATTACTCCCTCCGTTCTCAAAAACACTTCCTCTTTCATTTTTTTCACTTCCAACAAAATGCTTCCACTTTCTATTAAAAAACCACTTTTACCCTTACTTTTTCATATTCTACCTATCACATCATACTTTTTTTCTAATAATCTATCCATCACATTTTACTTTACCCATCACATCAGGGGCAAAATTGAAAGTCAACTATAATTTAACACTTCCTTATTTTGGCTCCAAGTCAAAGTATGAACTTTTTTTTGCAAACGGAGGGAGTAATAAACTACTTTTACCTTTACTAATTCTAAAGGGCCTGTTTGGGAATAGCATTAGAGATTAGCGTTAGCGTTTTGGATAAAATTTTAACGGTGCAGATTACTTTGAAAACGCTACCCGTTGATAGCCTTTTCAAAACGCTAACGCTATTCCCAAACAGGCCCAAAGCTACTTATCACATCATTCTTTTTATTACTCCCTCCGTCCGGAAATATTCTTCTCATTTTCCTTTTTGGTCTGTCCGAAAATATTCTTCCCATTTCCTTTTTTAGTATACTTTTTAAGGATAAATTTCAATAATACCCTTCTATTTTATCACTAATCTACTTTTTTAGTACTTTTTTAATAAGAAAAGAATATTTAAAAGTTTATAGTATGTGTATTTTTGAAAATTTTGTATTTTTTTTACAATTTCTTAATAAGCGTGCAAAGTCAACACGGGAAGAATATTTCCGGACGGAGGGAGTAATAATTTTTCCATCAGATCCTACTTTACCCATCACATCAAGAGTACTTTTGAAAAGTTAATACAAAAATATCCCTCTCTTAAATTTTCTAAAATTCATTAAGTGAAGAACTTTAAGAGACTGAGGAAATATTTGATATACAATTAATTTATACTCCCCTGTCTTTTAATAGATTGGATAAAGGAAATTAAAGTACAAGGGAAATGTCCTGTTTTTTTAAAAATTCATATTATTTAAAAATTTGCATGTAAAAGAACTTACACATTTATTAGAAACTACGTCAAAAAATTTACAAAATAAGAAATGGAAGAACAATTTATATTTATCAAATTATCAATGAAAACAAAATAATTAGGTAAGAAATTAAAAAATTAGTGTGAAAGGTGAAAGTTGGTGTAGTATTTTGTTTGGTAGCTAGCCGCAGAATAAGTGTAAAAAAAATTTAAAGGAGGGGGAATTATTTAATTAAGTATGCGAATGCATGCTTTCTTAGCTTTATGTTGTTGTTGATCTTATCACCTCACTGTCTGTACCCCACAAATGTCGTGTGGGCTGAGTGTGAAAAGAGAGCTGAGATTGGTAATGAGAACAGATTAATTAAAGCCATTCAAAAATGAGTCGTCACTTTGCTTTAAACACTGCAAAAAGAATGAGAGTTGCAACAAAGATTTCTGCTGTGATCGCTCCCATTCCATAGGGATCTGTGAATGAATCACTTTTTCTTTTCTCTTTTACGTACTACTCCGCTCCACCCTGCAGCATTTGCCCCCCTCCCCCCCGCTCATCGCTTTTTCTTCTTCTCTTGTACATACTAGCTATAATAACTTTGTCTCTCCCTCCACTCCACTTTATTGCACTAATACCCCTTGTGATTATATAAATGTGCACCGTGATACGGACCAGGAGCAATCGGTCGACGAGACGACGATGAACATGAAGATTCTCCCTCTCCTACAGTGGTGAGACGTTCGCGAAGGATCGTTGGGTTCGTTGGGCCACCCCAACAATCGTTCGGTTCTTTCCCTTGACTTTTTGTTGAACCCACAGGATAAGATTGGAGTTTCTGACGGCACGCCAATCTTACGGGGGCGTGTTAAGGATAATAAATAATTGTATTTATCTAATGACATTTAGTTTTCTAATATTTGTAAATACAATAACTAACTAATACGAACTTGCGTACCCGTTGGGGAGGGCTCGAAGTGCCTCCAAACTACAGACCCTAGAACCAAGAGTTGTGAAGGAGAGAAGGAGAAAGAGAGGTTAGGAAAGAGAGGGCCAAACGGCTCTGAAGAGGGAGAGACAGGAAGGTAGAAGGAATAGGGTGAAGAAGATGTTTTTTCATTCCATCCATTCAACGTACACTTCCTCCAATAAAATCGGAGTCTCCAAACCCTAGCCTTAATGACTAATTTTCTAACCTGACGGTTCAAGAAATGCATCGAGGTAAAGAACCGAAAAGAAACCCTCGAAGGAGCTTATAATTTGCTTACCTAAAAAACTACGTTACAATAAGTAAATCAACCATAACACATATATTATTAATCTTTATAATATTTCCACCAAGCGGACCAGTAGAGAGATAGGCCCCCCTGTTGAAACTCTGTCGGCAATGGGAGCGGTTTCAGACCCGACGCCTCGCCGCCTCACCCAGGAAAGGTTTGAGCAATGAGACGTGAAATACGGGGTGAGTACGAGACCCCTCGGGAAGTTGCAGTTTATATGTCGATGCCCCTATCTTCGCGATGATTGGAAACGACCCATAGTACCAGCGGGCGAGCTTTTGGGACCGACGCTTCGCCACAAAATGTTGGTGGTATGGCTGCAATTTCAACAAGACTTGATCCCCGACCTTAAATTGGAGGTCCCGCCGGTGTTTACCCATTGAGGCCCTCATCCGCTGATGCGCTAACTCCAAATGCCGTCGTAATTGGGATAAGACCTCCGTCCGCTCAGTGAGCAGTTTGTCCACTGCCGGTAAGAGGCACGTACCAGGAGCATTAGCCAATAAAGAAGGCGGATCCCGCCGGTAGAGTGCTTGGAACGGAGTCATGCCCAGCCCACTGTGGTAGCTTGTGTTGAGCGCATACTCTGCCTATGGTAGTAACACGGTCCAGCGACTAGGGGAGTCTTGAGTAAAAGCGTGCAAGTATTGTTCAAATCCTTTATTCATCTCTTCGGTTTGCCCGTCTATCTAAGGGCGAAACGCTGTGCTATGATGTAATGTTGTTCCACTCAATTTAAACACATGTCTCCAAAACTTAATAAAATGCGTTCACAATCAGACACTATAGTCTTTGGGGATCCATGAAGCTTGACCACTATGTTCACGAATAAAAACGCGACCCGGCGGGCGTCAAAATCTCCCAAAAAGGCCCCCAAATGAATGAACTTAGATAACCGGTCAACCACGACCAAGATTACTCTGAATCTGCGGGAAACGGGCAACCCCACGATAAAGTCCATAGATATGTAATCCAATACTTGGTTCGGTACTGGCAACAATTTTAGTAACCCCGCCGGTGGTTGAGTCGAATACTTGGTGGTTTGGCAAACGAGGCATCGTGTAATGGGCGCTTCACGTCCTCACGCATAGAAGGTCAGTAGAACACCATGGTAAATGCCGGAGGGTTCGGTTAACCCCTGCATGCCCTGCCATCGACGTGTTATGGTATTCACGTACCAAGGTTGCCCGTAGGGGCAAAGTTGCTCCAATGCATATGCGCCGTCTATAATATAGTAGACCATCAACAACGGTGTAATCATTAAGTAAGACGCCGCGACTGAACTCCTCGTGCCGGCCGCACCAAGTCAGGCTGGGAGGAATTATCCCGCCTAATGGCCTCGAGTAACTCCGGCAGTGGCTGTGACATCTTCATCCATGCATGGGCCTCATGGTATGGTTCATCTGTGCGTGATAAGGCGTCCGCCACCTTATTGGATGCGCTGGCCTTGTATTCAATTTGGAAACGGAACCCCAATAGCTTTCGAACGTAAAATTGTTGATCAGGGGTAAGTATAACCTGTTGCCACAGCTCCTTAAGGCTACGTTGATCCGTGCGGATAAAAAATGGCCGACCCAACAAGTATTGACACCATTTTTGGACGGCCTCAACGATAGCGTATAATTCCTGATGGTAGGCTAAGAAGGTAGCACACCGGTGGAACTCGCATCTGTATTGATAACAAATTGTCGAGTAAAACCGCCCCAATCCCCGTGGAACTCGCATCTGTATTGATAACAAATTGTAGAGAAAAGTCTCGCAAACGCAATACGGGGGCCGTGGTAATGGCGGTTTTCAAGGCCGTGAAGGCTACGTCGGCTGTGGAATTCCATGCAAATGCATCTTGTTTTAAAAGATCCTTTAACAGAGCGGCGATATGGGAGTACTGTCTAATGAGTCGTCAGTAATAGCCGGTGAGGCCCAAAACCCCCCATAAGTGTTTAAGGGACTTTGGTGTGGGCAAATGAACCATAGCATCGATCTTTGAAGAATCGGCCAATAGAGTGCCTGCCGAAATTATGTGACCCAAGTATGCGATGGATGCCTAACAGAATGCACACTTGGAGTGCTTGAGATAAAAAGAATTATCCTCCAATAAAGCGAGCACTTTCCCTAAGTGGTCGGCGTGAGTAGTAACGGACGGACTGTAAACCAAGATGTCGTTGAAGAATAAGATCACAAATCTCCATAAATTAGGCCCAAACAGCTTGTTCATACATGCTTCGAATGTGGACGGTGCATTGGTGAGGCCGAACGGCATAACGAGAAACTCAAAGTGGCCGTCATGAGTTCGAAATGCCGTTTTGTAAACATCCCTTTCGTTCATCCGTATTTGGTGATAACCCGCTTGCAAGTCCAATTTAGTGAAACAGCGGGCTCGACCGAGTTCGTCGAAGAGCTTATCCGCCGTCGGAATAGGGAAGTGGGGAAGGAGAGAAGGAGAAAGAGAGGGTCAAACTGCCGAAGAGGGAGAGACAGGAAGATAGAAGGAATAGGGTGAAGGAGATCTTTTTCATTCCATCCATTGAAAGTACACTTCCTCCAATTAAATAGGAGTCTCCAAACCCTGGCCTTAATAACTAATTTTCTAACCTGTCAGTTCAAGAAAAGCATCGAGTTAAAGAACCGAAAAGAAACTCTCGAAGAAGCTTATAATTCGCTCACCTAAAAAAACTACGTTACAATAATTAAATAAACCATAACACATACTCCTTTTAAAAACCATAACCTCTAACCTCTCGAAGGAGTATATTATTAATCTTTATAATCTTTCCACCAAGCCGGTGGTCTCCTCTCCCGTGTGCTGCGTCGTACTCTCAGCAATTCCTCCTCGATCTCTCGATCATGATCCCCCTTACGATTTTGTGCCGCGGATCCAGACCTCTGACCTCGCCGTTGTGCATGCCGATTTGAGGACGTAACACTAACTTATGTTTATCGGAGGTTGTAATAAACTATCTGTATAAATATGTTTTCTGTTAAAGGAAAGAGAATATTTGGTAGAATATTTGGTAGAATATTTGGAGATATTTGTGTATATATTATTTTGGTATTTTTCCTTGTATAGGGATTCTTTCCTTTTCGTTTTCCTTTACTGATTAGGAGTCTCAACTTGTGAGATCCTATATATATGTCCTCATTGTAAATTGTAAAGACAAGAGAGAAATACAAAGAATTTCCTCCCAAATAATTCTTTCATGGTATCAGAGCCAAAACCCTAGAGATTTTCAGCGACTACTGTTCACGATCGCCTGGCATGGCGTCTATCGATCGTTGCTCAGTTTCAGTCGTTCGTTGTTGTTGCCGGACAACGGAACGGTCGACCGTTGCTCTTGAACGGTCGAGCACGTCGACCGTCTCGTCGGCAGATTGTGTGATAGATGTTGTTGTTGATTCTTCCGCCACCGCCGTACGCCACTCTGCTACCGCCATGGCCGATGAACAACCAAGGAAGATGTTTTTCTCCCTATCATCGTGTGTTTCTAGTATGAAGCTTTCAGGTATTCCTGTGTCACCGCGTTAGATTATAGATACTGGGGCATCAAATCATATGACTGGTGATATTTCGTTATTGCATGACGTCGTGGGAATATCACCATGTGAGATTGGTTTGCCCAATGGGAAAAGAATTATTTCTGTACAATCTGGAAAGATTAAATTAACAGAAACATTACTTCTGCACGATGTCCTATATGTTCCCACTTTGAGTTGCCATTTAATCTCTGTGTCACAATTGAAAAGGGATTCGAACTGTGAGGCACGTTTTGCCAACAATAAGTGTATACTACAAGATCTGTGTTTAAAGACAGAAATTGGTATGGGTGAGCAGGAAGGAGGACTTTATTACTTCAAGAGGAGCCATACCAATCTATACTACAGGAGAGTAAGTTTGATCTTTGGCACAAATGACTTGGACATCCTTCCTCTCATGTTTTGTCTCTTGTTCCTGGAGTTGGAACAAGTAAGAGTAGTCACAGTTGTTGTGACATTTGTTTGCGTGCTAAACAGACTCGTGGGAGTTTTCCTATAAGTTTTTATCAATCTGTTGATAAATTTGATATGATACACTGTGATTTATGGGGACCATATAGGACTCCAAGTTTTGATGGTTTTACAATGTTTTACATTCGCTTGATTCCAAATGTAAGGTTGGCACTGTTTTTAAACAATTCTGTGCTATGGTAGAACGACAATTTGGGAAGAAAATAAAGTGTGTTCGCGGTGATAATGGCACAGAATTTGAATGTCTAAACGAATATTTCCGGGAGCAAGGAATTATTCATGAAACGTCTTATGTGTCTACTCCACAACAGAATGGGAGAGTAGAGCGCAAGCACCGACACATTTTGAATGTGGGTCGGGCTTTGAGATTTCAGGCTGGTCTTCCGATTGAGTTCTGGGGAGAGTGTATACAGACCGCCGCACATCTGATCAATCGCACACCTTCATCTTTGCTAGGGGGGGTCACACCATACGAGAAGATCTATGAAAAGCCACCCTCTTTGGCTCATATTCGTGTTTTTGGATGCAGATGTTATGCTCATAACTTAAAGAGGAATGGAGATAAATTCGCACCAAGAAGCAATCCTAGAATATTTGTTGGATATCCGCAAGGGAAGAAGGGATGTCGTATTTACTACCCGGACACTGGGGAAATTAAGGTGTCCCGGGATGTTGTGTTTTGTGAAGATATTTTCCCTTTTTTGACTCCTACAGGTGCATCTATTGATACAGGAAGTACAAATGAGGTTAGCTCTTATGATGAAGATGAAGAAATGCGGACGGAAGAGCAGATGGATCGTTCCAAGAGGGACGGTGGGCTAGAGGAAAGCGGTAAAGCAGACATGCTACAGACGGTTGACCTGATGGACCGTTCGGATGTCCACGGTCGACCGTCCGAGAGGCAGAATGATGGGTTCCTGAGAGATGACCAAACGGTCAACCTGGTGGACCGTTCAGATATCCACGGTCGACCGTCCGCAAGGCAGAATGACGTTTCTTTGGGAGATGATCAAACGGTCGACCGTGAAGTGGAAGACGGTCGACCGTCTCCGAGGCAGAAAGTTAGCGATCCGGAACAGCTTCAGACGGTCGACCCCGTGGACCGTTCCACGGACGGTGGTCGACCGTCCTCTTCCCAGCAGGCGGTGGAGAACTTGGGACGTGGTCAATGTGAGAAACGTCCAAATGTACGCCTTGCCGATTATGCTACCCATGTAGCTGGTTCACATATTGGTGAAAATGCAAATATCCTCTTGCCTCGTATATCACACACGAGAAGTTCTTTGACAGACACAAGTGTTTTCTCAGCGCACTTGATGCTGGAGTGGAGCCCACAGGTTTCAAGAAGGCATTCCAGGATGAACGATGGAGGAAGGCTATGAGAGAGGAGATTGATGCACTGGAGGCTAATGGGACGTGGTCTCTTGTCTCTCCTCCACGCCATAAAAAGCCCCTTGGTTGCAAATGGGTATATAAGATCAAGCGCAAGTCCGATGGAAGTGTGGAGAGATATAAGGCCAGACTTGTTATACTTTGCAATCATCAGGTTGAAGGACTTGACTATAAAGAAACATTTGCTCCTATAGTCAAGTTGACCACTGTGAGAATGCTTTTAGCAATTGCAACAGTTAAGGGGTGGGAATTGCATCAGATGGATGTTCACAATGCATTTCTACACAGAGATCTTCAAGATGAGGTGTATATGAGATTGCCACCTGGTTTCTCGAATTCGTCTAATGTGGTGTGCAAACTCAAGAAATCTCTGTATGGCTTAAAGCAAGCTCCAATGTGTTGGTTTGCCAAGTTGTCTAGAGCCTTAAAACGCTATGGGTTTGTTCAATCTGTTGCTGATTACTCCTTATTTTCTTTTGTTGGAAAGAAAGGAGTCATACATGTTTTGGTTTATGTTGACGATTTGATTATTGCGGGAGATAATACAGAGATGGTAAGCAAGTTCAAAGCCTATCTCGGAGATTGTTTTCATATGAAGGACTTGGGAACACTGAAATACTTTCTTGGCATTGAGGTGGCGAGGAGCACGTTTGGGATTTTTCTCTGCCAACGAAAGTATGCCTTAGATATCATCACTGAGGCAGGGCTGTTAGGTGCCAGACCGTTGGGTGCCCCGATGGAACCAAATCATCACTTGGCTTGTTCCCAAGCCCCGGTACTTGCAGATCCAGAACCATATCGACGGTTGGTAGGAAGGTTGGTCTATCTCTCCGTTACACGACCGGAACTTTCTTACGCCGTCCACACTTTAGCACAGTTTTTGAAGGAACCAAGGGAGGTTCAGTGGTCTGCGGCCCTTAGAGTCGTTCGTTATTTGAAAGGATGTCCAGGTCAGGGCATTTTTCTGTCAGCAGAGAGTAGCTTTCAACTCACAGGATGGTGTGATTCGGACTGGGCAGCATGTCCTTTGACGAGGCGGTCATTGACAGGGTGGTTTGTGCAGCTTGGAGACTCGCCTGTCTCATGGAAAACAAAGAAGCAGTCGACGGTGGGTCGCTCGTCTGCTGAAGCAGAGTATAGAGCTTTGGTTGTCCTTACATGTGAGTTGAAGTGGTTGAACAATGTTTTGCGGTGTTTAGGGGTTGAGCATAAGGACCCCATGACGGTCCGGTGTGACAGCACAGCAGCACTTCACATTGCTGCTAATCCGGTTTTCCACGAACGCACGAAGCACATTGAGATAGATTGTCACTTCGTTCGTGATGAGCTGTTGCAAGGAGAGATTCGTACACTTCATGTGTCTACTACGCATCAATTTGCAGACATTCATACAAAGGCACTCGGAAAGTCACGTTTGGAGTTTCTTCTTCCCAAGTTGGGCATTTCGTTACTACATACTCTAACTTGAGGGGGGTGTTAAAGGAAAGGGAATATTTGGTAGAATATTTGGTAGAATATTTGGAGATATTTGTGTATATATTGTTTTGGTAGTTTTCCCTTTATAGGGATTCTTTCCTTTTCCTTTTCCTTTTCCTTTACTGATTAGGAGTCTCAACTTGTGAGATCCTATATATATGTCCTCATTGTAAATTGTAAAGACAAGAGAGAAATACAGAGAATTTTCTCCCAAATAATTCTTTCATTTTTTCTCTTGATCAATACTACCTCCATTTCTCAAAACGGTTCCTATTTTGACTTTGGGTAGAAATAAGGAAAGTGTAATTTTAGTTGACTTTCCAATTTTGCTCCTGATGTGATAGTTTAGTTATTAGTGAAAAAGTATGATGTGATAGGTAGAGTATGAAAAAGTATGGGTAGAAGTGGTTTTTAATAGAAAAGGGAAGTGTTTTAAGAAAAACAAAAAAAATGAAAGATGAAGGGTTTTAAGAAACGGAGGGAGTAGTATACAAGGTTAAGATCCTATATTGTCCTACAAAATCTTTTTCATTTTTATTAAATAATCGCTTTTTCTCTGACTTATTCTAAATTTATCTATCGCATCATACTTTTTACTAATAAAAATATTCTTTCTTAATTTTTTTAAAAATCAAAATGAGAATATTTTTGGGAATGAAGACGTACTAATTATCTTCTGGTCGATCGTATTTTACAAAATAAAATAGAGTACCAAATCGCATTGCCAACCTAAAAAACAAAATATCAAAGCTGTAGTACAGTATTCTATACAAATAATAATGGTATAATACTCGTAATGGTAGTTAGCACATTCAATGAACCAATTGTCATTAATGTTTAACGATTAACCATACTATTTAAGCAGTTCTTAGTTATGGGCTATGGCAATTAGTTTAATATCTACGTGAGAGATGATGAAAATCAAGGCTAAAACAGAGAGCGGATTCAGATTGTGCATTAAGGCGCCACTTCGAGTTGTTAAGAGAGCCAGAGATTTGTATATCCGGAGCTTGTGCGATTGTTCCGACAAGTTGACATATTCCGGCGGCGGCGTGAATTTAATGGGCTGTCCGGCGCCGGCCCAGCTTTCGCCACTGCCCCGAAGTTTTTCTGCGTTGAGCTCCGAGGACGAGGACTTGAGCGAGCTTAATTGTTAGGGTCGCTTCTAGAAGAAGTCATGGAGGAAAGGTGGGACCGGACCGGCTGCGGCACTTGGAGCCGTTGAAGGCCCGCTCTGCTCCCGGACGGGGAGGATTGCCGAGCGCCGCCGTGCCAGCTGGTCGTAGCATGGTTGTGATCGTGGCTATTGCAAGGATTGACGAAGACAAGCCTTGCGTGTGACATGGGAGAAGAAAAAGTTAAAAATTGAGCTTAATTTAGCCCAAATGCTCTCCTTTTTTTTCGAATTAAGTTACTCTTTACGTCCGAAAATATTCTTCACATTTGACTTTTCTTGATCAAAGTTTATAAACTTTGACTACGGTTTGTGGAAAAAACGATGTAAATTTAATATCAATATATTCATAATGAAACGTAGTTTTCAAATATCAAATTTTTATAAAATATATCTATGTATAAATATAGATATTAATGGTCAAAGTATAATATTAGAGACCGTGAAAAGTCAAATGGGAAGAACATTTCCGGACGGAGGGAGTATTTGTTTATTATGCAGATATTTAAAATTGATTCATTTTTCTTACATTATTTTTGATATTAAATTGATAAAATAATATAGTAAAGTCACCTCTTATTTCATACTAATTTTTAAATATGTAAATTTTATTTTTTAATTTCATCGCATGCAATTCTTAAATAAATTCTATTCAAAATAAGTTCAATCATACACTCCCTCCGTCCCAAAAAGTTTGTTACGTTTAGAAAAAACTGTGTCCCGTAAAGTCTGTTACATTTCTATTAAAAAAACCACTTTTACCCCATACTTTTTCATACCCTACCTATCACATCATAGTTTTTTCCTAATAATCTACCCATCACATCCTACTTTTTTACCCATCACATTAAGGGTATTTTTGGAAAGTCAATACCAAAATATCTCTCCCTTAATTTCCCAAAAAGTCAAACCGTCCCATTCTTTTTGGGACGGAGGGAGTACATCGCAAACTAAAACAAGCTATTTAAATTGAGGTGGAGGAAGTATAATGGAATACATGTTTATTAAATATATTTTTTTCTTTATGATTGTGGAATATTCATTTATATTTTCTTTATCTCAATTTTGGTTGTATGTTTACTATTCATCTGATCAAATATTAATCACTTTCTTTTATTCTTTTTTGTTACTCATTTAGTAAAATAATGGAAAAATATCACTTTTGTTTTGAAGAACTTTTAATGTGATTTTTTCATATATAAATTTTATTTTTATAATTTTACCACAACATTCATATAAATCAATTTGAAAATAATTTCAGTCAAACAGCAATAACAACGAAAGACAACTTAAAATAAGTTGGTGGAAGTAATTATATTAGAAGGGAATTTCCTCCAAAGCCTTTTCTAATGAAGGGGCATGGTCGCATGGATGCCCCTCTAGTAAATTCTTGCCATGTGGACCTTTTAATCATGTAAATAAATAAAAAGTTCTCATCATTTTTAATCTTAACAATTACATAATAACCCCATTTTTTCCTTTTTCATATCTAAGAGTCTTTTCTTTTAAATGAAATTTTTTTTCAACATTTTTCAATTCTTTATAGTTTTTTCAACCACTTCAAGTTTATTTCAATAACAACTTAAAAAATTAATTTGTTTTTATTTTTTAATAATATTCATGTTACATTCATTATAATTATAACTATTACTATTACTACTATTGTCATTATCATCATCACAATTATAATTAAAATAAAATACAGAACTGAAGTAATAACATAATTTTCATATAAAAATATTTCTTTTGTCCCAAAAACATATACGGAGTATTAGTTATCATTATAAAGTCAACGTAAAATATTAAAATGTTAAATGAATTA